TCAGGAGGCCAAGGCAGGATGATCTGATGGTCAAATCCTTCCTGGATAGTGCCAGATAGTGGAAATTTTGTTGGGGGAAAAAAAGAGAATAAGAGGAGGAGGAAAAAAGAGAGAAAGAAAAGGGGGGTGTGTTGGGGGTGAGCCAGACATAGTGGCATATACCTGCAATTCCAGCACTCTGGAGGAAGAGGGTTATAAGTTAAATGAGAGGTAGACTAGAATAGACCTTGTCTCAAATTAATAAAATTTAAAAGAAAAATGGGATGGAGATGAGCTCCATGATAGTATAGTTAGTTTCCTAGCATGCACAGGACGGACAGCACACGCAGGCATGACTCACACACAACGCACACACACACACACACCAGCCTAGCATATCTTTGAAGATACCTCAAAGAACTTGAGCAGATAATGGCAATTAACTATTTTTAAGAGGGCAATTAAATGTTAGCCAAGTGTTAGCTTGTGGGATGGAGTCTGGGGTGACACGGGATAAGAGCGATTAGAATCTATTAGGGAGGCAGAGAACACCTTCGTGGAAGGGGAGAAGAGGCTGAGTGTGTGAAAGAAGATTAAGAAGCTACGGAGGAAAAGTACAGAAGACTTGGAGTCCGCCCTGGTATAGGAGGATTAAAATCTTGCAGCCCCGGTGAATTGGTGGATACTTTCCACTGCTGAAAACGAGAAAGACAAAAGGCAGATGAACTGGGGGGATAGTGTGGGATCGGCATGAGGCTTGCTGAAGTTGAGTTAACTCAGACATTCAAATGAGCATGTCCCTCGGGAGTTTGAGGTGACTCTCTGGGTACCCGGAAGTGATTATTAGCACAAGGGAACAATTGATTGGTTACCTGGAGGGTATGTGCTTCATAATAAAGGAGACGAAGAGAAAGTAAAAGATTAGAAGTTGATGACTAGGAAATCATGCAATCCACACCAGAGTCTCTGTGCAAAGTCTAACACACTCGACCATAATTCCCGCTCACTGTACACACTGAAGGTACGCATCAGCATGGGGCCTTCTCTGTGAGCCGGTCATGACAAAATCTTTCTGTTGTCTCCTTCAGTCCTGAGAACAGTCTGTTGAGATAGGTCTTGCAGATCTACTTCACAAGTGACAAAAATGGATATCCTGAGAAAGCAACCAGTTCATAGAGTGGGATGAGGTCCTGCCTCCCATTCAGCAGACACCCCCTACCCTGCGACGATATGTATGTGGACTATATAATATTGCCACCCCCTCACCCAAACGTTTGATGACGATCTTTTGTCTAAGATAGGTATAATATATTGGACCTAACTCTCTAGGAAGCTACAATCTGGAGAGAGATAAGACAGGCGTATAAATAATGATAAATTAAGGTTGAGTCCAACGCTGACCCAGAGAAGTACAGATAAGGTTTTTGCAGTCCAAAGGGCTAAGGGCATCGTGAGAGATGGACGCAAGCATGGCCTTGGGAACCTGGGAGAACCTGCAGTCACCACCAACTCTCATCCCACAGGTGCTGTGTCCAGGAATCGCGGCCGTCCGCGCAGGGGGGAAGGGCTGCTGTGGTGCAGGTTGCTGTGGGAACCGCTGCAGGGTAAGAACCAAATTAGGAAGTTTGATTTCTGACTCCTTCCCCATCGAATCCCAGCACCATCAGCAAGCAACCTCTGTGAGGTCTCAGGTGCTACCTCACTTCCAGTCCTGGGTCTCAAATGAACCTGACCAGCGGGTCATAGAAGCCCCATGAACCTCTGCGGTAGAGGACTTTTAGGATTCGCCTAACCTCAAAAAACGGAGCAGTGGTGGCGCATGCCTTTAATCCCAGCACTCGGGAAGCAGAGGCAGGCAAATCTCTGTGAGTTCAAGGTCAGTCTGGTCTACAGCTGGCCTAGTTCCAAGACTGATTCAAAAAAAACTTTTAAATAAATAAATAAAGGAAAGTGTGTTTTTAGGCAGCCGGACAGAAGTGCTGACGTATGCGAGAGGAACTGGGCATGGGTGGCCCTCCAAGGGAGGAGGCAGGCCTACTCAGTTTACCTTTCCACACCGGTCTAGATGCTTCGCTCCGTGTTCTCCTCCGCCTTTGGGATGCTTGGTTCCCTCTACTGCCTCTCCGTGTCGGGAGCTGGGCTTCGAATCGGACCCAAATGCTCAATAAACGGCATATGGGACTACCACTTCCTAGAAACCCAGTAAGTCCTGCTCCATATTTGTATCCCCATTCTGTGCCTCTCCCCACCTGCCTTCCTACCTGGTCCAGAAATGATGGACCAGACCGAGCTTCTAGAAAGACCCTTCCGCGTGACCCATCAAATTTTGCAAATCTTAGTAGACCCTTGCCCTGGGTGGTGGTAGGTGCTGCTGTGTGATCAGCCTCTCTTAAACGACCCTGTCCATCCACAGAGGCTCTTACTTGCGCAATGACACTCAATGGGATCTATGTGAGAAGCCACCTAAGGTGGTACCCTGGAACGTGACACTTTTCTCTATGCTGGTGGTCGCCTCGAGTCTGGAAGTAGTGCTGTGTGGAATACAGCTGGTGAATGCGACCGTGGGCGTATTCTGTGGCGACTGCCGGAAAAAGGTGAGAGGGCATGGAGCGGAGCTCTGAGGGGATCCTGTTTGCTCTCGGCTGCATCTTTACTCTTTTTTTTTTTTCTTGCAGGACACAGCTTAGTGAGTTCCGTGGGCTCCCGTGAATACCTCATTTCCGGAAGTCTCAGTGGACTACCCACCCACCACTTACCTGGAATAAACTACTTTTATTGCTCAGTTTCCTCCTTTGTGGTATAAACTGCCCTGAGCACCCTTTCCCAATTCTGATTTAGCCTTTGGAAGGAGTGCCTTCAGATGTACCTAGGCTTGTAGTTCTGTTTGTAACCCCATTCCCTGCTTCTTATTTTCTTAACAAATAGTTATTCTTCTGGAAATAAAGTACTGTGCTCTCAAAGTGCCAATGATGAAAGATGAGCAATTTTTAATTTAATTTTCTTTACATTTGTGTGTGTGTGTGTGTGTGTGTGTGTGTGTATACATCAGAGGATAATGTAGGAGTTGGAGTTGGCTGTCACACCATATGTGTTCTGGGGATCAAACTCAGGTCCTCTGGCTTGGCACCAAGCACCTTTACCAATTGAGCCCCCACTTCACTCCTTCCCACTGTTGGGTAATAGCTTCAGGTCGTAAGGTCATGAGGAATTGAGTCAGGCTTACTGGGCAAGTAACTCCAAGCCATAAAGAACAGCTTAGCCCCAGCCTGACCCTTCCACTTCACCCGCAGAAACAAAATATTCTCAGGTGAGAACAACACACCCTGCTTGCAGCCAAACTACACACACACACACACACACACATACGTCTGAACTCTCACACATGCACACACATATGCACGCGCACGCACACACGCACACACGCACACACATGCACGCATACGTTTATGTCTATAGCTTCTGTCTGCTTCTCAGCCTCACTTTTCTTATACCAGCCATTGGAAATTTCCCCACCCCCACCCCATCCCCAAGACAAGGTTTCTCGGTGCAGCCCTGGCTGTACTGGAACTCGCTCTGTAGCCCAGGCTGGCCTCGAGCTCACAGAAATGGCCTGCCTCTGCCTCCCTAGTGCTGGGATTAAAGGTGTGCACCACCACCACATGGCCAAACATTTCTTTTTAAAGAAGTGAACGATTATTTCAGTTGCTGGCAAATGTTAGGTCTCAACCCGGTACAGATAACCGAGAGGCCTTTTAACATATCAAAGTGACTGCCAGCTTCTCCCATTTCTACCTGCTACAGGGTATGACTACCCACCCTAATCTCCAGCGCAGGGGCTGGGCTGCCCTTCCCCAGCTCCCCTTCCCTATACAATCCAGTCATTTTGGTTACCTGCCCTTTTCCATCTACCCTTTACCATTCTGGCCTCTTGGTCTGGCTCTTCACCCTCTCTTCCCCCCTCCCCACTCTTCCTGCAGCCCAGCTCAGGGTTGTGCTCACTCTGGACTCTCCCGGATGTCCCTGTCTCTGGCTATGCCCTCCCTTTTATCTACAGTGAGCCTCTCCTCTACTGTACCGAGGAGTCATGTCCTTCCATTTTCATTCAGTAAACATTTTTTAAAAACATGTTGGTAATGAGATAAGCATTGGTTGGTAGGGGAAATGTTTGTCACAGGAACATCCAATTCTGAATATGGACTCCCTCCCGGGAGAGTGCAGACAGAGAAAACGGCGTGGAAAGACAAAGTCGTTGATGACCTCTCGGTCTAGAAAGGCCCCTATTTGGAATTTGCAAGGTAAGGGCCAAGGTAGGAAGGGGCTTAGAAACTACAGGGAAAGATTCTTTAGTCTCAGAGTTCTAGAAAATTAAAGTGGAAAGCCTTCTGCATTGTCATCTGATTACTTACACTGGCTCTATGGACACCTCCTACCCACCCGGGAACTTCCAAACAAACCTGATGCACACTCCTCCTGGACAACTCAAACCTGGGGGACTTCCAAACCTGATGCACACTCCTCCTGGACAACTCAGACCTGGGGACTTCCAAACCTGATGCACACTCCACCCGGACAACTCAAACCGGGGGACTTCCAAACCTGATGCTCACTCCACCTGGACAACTCAAACCGGGGGACTTCCAAACCTGATGCACACTCCACCTGGACAACTCAAACCTGGGGACTTCCTAACCAGGAGCTACCAATAAGGAATAGATTGGGTCTAATCACCGAGTTTCCCATGTACAAAGGTGGGGTTTTGCATCCTGCTCCTTAATCTGAAGTCACTGATGATTCAGAAGGAGACAACTTGGGCTCTTAAAGGGAACCTAGTATCTACAAGTGTCCTCAGAAAGCCAGGGCCAAAAAAGTTATGTGTTTAAGTTCTTCAGTCTGAACTATGTGACCTACAACCCCTGAAGCCAAACCTGAACACAGGCTTTGCAGAGTCAAGGAAGAAGCAAGGAGGCACCTTCTCTCGTTTCTAAATCGAAGCGACAGCAAAGGCCAAGACCAAGAAGCTTTAATAGTAAGAGGCACGGTACTGGCAGGGTCCAGTGGGACAGTGGGCAGCGGCAACAGCGTCAGCTGTTACAGCAGAATATCCTGACGTCATTAAGTGCAGTGTCATCACGGGGCCCTCGAGGCTTCTGGATTTTGGTCTGCAAGCCACAGACACCTTTGACACAGGAGTCGCTCCAATCTCCATAATCTCCCCAGCTCAGCCCAGGCCCCTCCAGCTCCACACCGTCTGAGCAACGGAAGCGCACGTTGTTCACCGCAGTGTTGTCCCCAGGAAATGAAAACGGCTCCACCCGAAGAGAGAACGCCACTAGGTAGTGCGCGCCCGGACACCACAGAGGCTCGCTCCAGGAGCCCCAACTGCAAGAGAAGGAGACTTCTAATTGGCTCTGTGAGCACCTCCTACCCACCTGCGGCCTGCCAAACCAGGCCCTACCAGTACGGGATAGATTGGGCCTAATCGCCTGTGTTTCCCCGAGTGGGGAGGGGCAGACTTCCATCCCACTCCTCTGTAACTGTAACAGAGTTCACCTCGGGAAGGGGCGTCCTTTCGCGCTAGGAGAGTGCCCTTCCCATTGGGGATTGAACCTAGAGCTGTACACACACTAGATAAATACTCTATCACACTTTTTGTGGGGGGAGCGGGTCCCGAATTCCCACCTTCCAGATTGGGACTCCACAACATGCGTGTTTTGCTCTGCATTCCCTCGAGTACAGTGCAGCCGGATCCCGTTCAGAGCTGTGTCATCTCCAGGAATGCCTTGAGGGGGCTCCACCTGGGTGAGGAAGAGGGCAGAAGTGAGGTTCAGTGAGAGGATTGCCATTCTCAGCTCGGCAGTCCCTCATCCTCATATCTCTGTCCTTTAAGACCCAGATCTGAGCCTTCACCTTGATGGAGAACCCACTGGCAAAGTATCCATCAGGACACATCTCAGGCCAGGTCCAGTCACCCCAGGTCCCACCGTTGGTCACATCAATGATGGATGCGTATCGTTCCACTCTTATCTGTGTGTGTCCACAATGCATCACCCATAGCAGCAGCAGCAGCAGCAGCAGCTTGGCTTCAGACTGGAACTCCATCCTGCATTACCTGTGAACCTGGCTGCTTCCATGGATTTATATCAACCCTGTCCTTATCAGGATTCAGGCTGCAGGTCTATACCAGCCCTGTCCTTTCATGGTTCAGATTGCGGAAGAATGACCAGGATTAAGTGGCACTCAAAACTAATCTGCTCCGGGAACCCTGAAGATCTGATTCCCAGCTCCGGGAGACGGAGGCCCCCCAAGAGCTAGGGAAGGAACGGCAGTGAAAACCGCTGAGTGGAAATTAGCACCTGCCCGATACTTATTATAGACCACTAGCTGTGACTGGCACTTGCAGCCATATTTCCTGTAATCCTCACAATGAGTGTAGAAGATAGAAATAATATCTCCTAGTTTGTAAAGGAGAGAGCTGGGTCTCAGAAAGAGCAAGTGATTTACCCCCAGTAAACAGAGGGAAATCCCAGCACTGGAAATGGAAGCCAGGGCTGGAGACTGTAGTGGTCCAGTGGAAATCTGCCGGGGACAGGGCTAGGCAGGGACAGTTCAAGGATGAGGGGCAACTTTACAGGATGTAAGAAAGCATCAGGTTAACATAGATCAAAAGTCTGTGACAAGTAGGGGAAAAGCTCTTTTTAAGCCCGTGGCTCTGATCCTTTGAGAGGCTTGTTCACCAGACCTACCCAGAGAGACAGGGTCCCTCTCTGCAATCCAAGTTGTTCTGAAATACAGTGGGTAGCTGTCTTCGTTAGGGTTTCTATTGCTGCAATGAAATGCCACGGCCAAAAAACAAGTTTGGGGGAAGGGGTTTATTTAGTTGGCTTATACTTCCACTGGAGGAACTCAGGACAAGAAGTCAAGCGTGGCAGGAACCTGGAGGCAGGAGCTGGTGAGAGGCATGGAGGGTGCTGCTTACTGGCTTGTTCCCTATGACTTGCTCAGCCTGCTTTCTTATAGAACCCAGAACCACCAGCCCAGGGATGGCACCACACACAATGGCCCTTCCTCGTCAATCATTAATTAAGAAAATGTCCTACAGGCTTGCCTTCAGTCTGATCTTATAGAGACTTCTTCTTCTTCTTCTTCTTCTTCTTCTTCTTCTTCTTCTTCTTCT